GAATTTTACCCCCTGGTTTGTGACGTCACGTTTGCCCAATGCCCAGGGGGTAAAATTCCAGGGGGATAAAAATCCGCTACCCCTATTTCGTGACAATGGTAACGTGTATCTCACAATTTACGCTGAGTGAATCGTGCTACAAGCATTCTAATATATTTTCCGACGATCATAATCTAATATTCCCTCCGTTACTGCTGGGGATCCACTAAACGGATATTTTTTTGGAGGGTTTCGGATTAATCGGGGAGGATGCAAATTCAAAATTGAACCAAGTATGAAGAGTGGTGGGTGAGAATTTACTGTAAGTATGTCTTCAAGGTATTGCATTACCCCTGGCTGCTACTTTCATACTCCTGTACTATAAAAGTAATTTACTAGCCGTATTTCTCTACAGTAGTTTACAGTCAACCCTCTCGCTGAGGACGAACCAGAAGGCCAAAGGTCACGGTGAGAAATGAAAGGATGTTGTGGATAAGAATGTAGTTTACACTGACTCACTTATCGCTACAGTGACGCCTGAAGACTCGACACTTGCTATTCATTGATATAAAGCTGGGTTATCTTGTCCGGGGGTGATTGGTGACTGAGTGAGATTCAACATTTTAACAAAAACAACACTTTACTGTACAACTCCCCCAAAATGTACAAACTTAAGGTCTCCATGTTCGCTTTTATTTTTCATTAGGCTATCTCTGGAAGATTCTGGAAATATATTTTGTAAGTTATATTTTGAACACTGCATATTCGAATTTATTCTAGTAACTACTTTCGTTAACAGTAAGGGCTCATATAAATGCTACAATATTTGTTCAAAATTAATACAAACGGTTATTTATTGAAATACATAACATTTTCTTAGCATTTTTTAGATAGTACTGTCTTAAGGAAAATACTGTTGATAACAAAAAATTACTGTAATCCTTATCCAACCACAGTTGTTGGTATGACTACTAGTTTCGTTCCTCAGATCATTTTGTATGCAACCATATCATCAATGTATTAAAACATAGTGGTATGTCAATAGATTCTTTTTTAAACTGTCAAAATCAGTAACAATAAGAGAATAAATAAATAAATACTTTATTGTCTTAACAATATAAATTGAATAGACAGTACAATTAAGTTAAGTTTAAGACTCTTAAAATTATGATTCATTTTTCATTGAAGTCTTCAATAGAGTAGATTGGATTTTCAGTAAGGATTTCTTTGAATTTTTTTTGTATTCTTTTAATTTTAAGTTTTGAATATTAGTTGGTAATTTGTTAAATAATTTTATTCCATTGTAATAAAGATGTTTTTCATTTGTTTGGTGGAAAGTAAAAGAACATATTTGTAATTTTCTCAAATCATAATTCTTCTCACATAATTCATCATTTTTCCAGAATTTCTCAAAATTGTTCTTTAAAAATAGTAATGTTTCATAAATATAAATTGAGTAAAAGGTCATAAATTGATTTGTAGAAAGTAAAATACTGTTATCTCTAATGCTGTCTAAATAACTGTACGAGCTTTTAACAAGTTTATATACAGTAGTGATTGTTCACATGTACGTGAGCAGCATTTACTGTTATTTTGGCGGTTGTCCAGATGTTCTACTGGCCTACAGCCTACAAACTAATATCTTACTTTGAATTCCTGTTCTAATAAATATATTTTTCAAATTAAATAGAGTTGGCGTCAACCACTAGTTTAGTAATGTCCGTGCCTAGTTGTAGAACAAATATTAGGTGTAATTTAAAATAAAACCTGTAATGGTTCAAGTATGCACTCATTTAAGATCAAAATCCTAACCTATGACTCAGTCGGTCACTTACTGGATCACAACTTTGGTATAACAAGTAAATGGCCATACCGGTAATTTTTTAATCATTTTGATCACAAAAGCCTCTGAGTGTTATTATAAGACTAACTTATAGCCATTATGACACTTTCTCAAAATTAAACAAATCTAACTCCACTTAGAAAATTTGAAGAATTTTATAGGATTAAGTATGAATGTAGAGGTTTTAGGGTAAAAATATTTGGACATTCTGGGATGTAATTTAATTTGACGGTAGTTTGGACGCCAACGAGGCAGTTTTACACCTCGTTAACTCGCCTAAGGCCGGAACATTCTCCGACAACTTCTTCTGGGCCGGAAGCGGTAGTGAAATAGTGTTTTCGAACCTTCAGATTGTCAAATGACACAAAAACTATGTGACTTTTAATGGATAATACGATTTGAAAGGTCAATCTATATAAAAATATAGCATGTTGCATATTGCAAGCAACTAGCATAGATGAAAACCTAAACGAGAACATTGAGCATAAAAGGTAGACGATCCAAAATTACGGGGTGTATACTCCAATAGAATATGAGTTGCACCACAGAAATGCAGTGTTTAAAACCGAAGCAATGTTCTAACTAGGTTGATCACTAGAAACTAATTGAAGAGTGATTATTCCCATCGATATAAGGTCAGACCACCATCCATTGTTGATGGGTGAAGGTACCAACTTTCTTATCTTCCCGACTGCCATTGATCGGAAGAACACCTCATGAGAATCCTCTTATAAACTAGTGTTTAAGAACGTACACAAATAAAAACTGGAACATCAATAAACTAGTATTTGCATTACGTACCTAACATACAGGAAGGGATGAAAATAACCGGCTTCATGCTACGATAAGGCGTATGATTGTACCGTGTATTTTATTACGAAAATATGTCTATTGAAGATTATCATTGATTACTCTATAGCAATCAGTTTCGCAGTATTATTTTTATGAGGTATCATTGATAGTGTTTTAATTTGTTTAGCAAATAAATCGATTTAAATCACAATACGATATTTTAATGTAAAATGTGCTGTATTCCTGTTATGAACATATGTAGTTGTTACCATAGCAACCAAAATGTGTATTATCAAATGCTGTTTACTATTCTATTCTGATCTTTAATATAATACAGTTACTTCTATTTCAACACTCTGTCTTTTTTATATTCTAATATTCCACTCGAAAGTCATCTCAGTTGGCGACGATTTGGTAAAAAAACTATTATCAATTCTTGTTTTATTCTATTATTTTCAAGGAATTGTATTTTGTTAACCATGAATGAAGAACAATTTGAAAGACTCATGAATGTTTTGGCTGCAGCTCTAGGTAATCAAATTTCAACTCCTCAGATCAATCCTTTTGAACATTTTGATCCAAATAATGATAAATTCAAATCATATTTGGAACGTTTTGAAAATTATTGCAATTTGAAGAACATTAAAGAAGACAAGATGAAAGCTCAACTCCTGTGCTCATCTATTGGTAAGGAACATTACAATAATCTGACAACTCTTTTAGGCCCAGACAATCCTGTAAAAGACCTTAATTTTTCAAAATTAATCGAACATTTCACAGTGATGTTGTCACCTACAGTATCTCATATTGTTGCACAACACTATTTCCTCAGTGTTTCACAACAGTTGCATCAATCTATCTCTGATTTTGTCACAGTCCTGAAAGGTAACCTGAATGATTGTAATTTTTACACTTCTTGCAATGAATGTAAAAGTAAAATTTCAATTGTTGGTGAATTTCTCCGCCCTCAATTTATTAGAGGATTAAAAGACAATTGGATACGTGAAAAACTTCTACAAGACACTAATCTCAACAGTTTTGACACACTCCTCAAAAAAGCAATTGCCCTAGAAGCTTCCCGCTATGAATCAAATAAAATTTGTAATCCTGTCACAAAATCATCAAGTGAAAATGCAGATACACACAAAATTGATAGGCATTCAAGGTCTAAGACAAAGGAATATCAAAGTTTCAAGCAATTTAAGACTCCCAAATATGATGACCGCGGTTCCAATAGATCTCAATCACAACATTTCCGTAACAAAAGCTTAAAAAGACATGTTGACTACAGAGCTTTGGGTATTGATGGACTTTGTTTCAAATGTGGTCGATCAAACCATCAGTCTAATGAATGCAAAACTAATCGGAATAATCTTAAATGCACTTCCTGTGGAAAACAAGGCCACGTATCAAAAGTGTGTATAACGTCTCTACTAAAGAACTCTAAAACAAACACCCTGTTGTCTCACTACACAGAAGATGAATCCAGTCACCCAGATGAGTATGGAATCACACAAATCAACGATGTGGAAGATCTTTACATAGTAGGACCAGACTCAGACAAATACATGGTTACAGTCACTATCAACAACAAGCCTCAGACATTTGAAGTAGACTCTGTTGCACGATTTTCCTTAATCTCAGAAACGGACTTTGATAAACTTGGACTTAAAGTGCCACTTCAACCAACTCCTATCTCATTTCGCTCCTACTCTGATCATATAATAAAACCTAAAGGTAAAGTAACTGTCTCAGTCTCTTACAATGCAAAATCACTAAATGCTGATTTATTTATAGTACCTGCAGGTCATTCTGCTTTGTTAGGACGAATTTGGATTCGTGGACTTGGAATTGAACTCAGTGAGGTAGACAACAGAAAGCTATCACCGATGAATACAGTTGATGTTAATTTAGTTCCGTCTCTAGAGGATATATTCGAAAAATACTCAGAAATTTTCGAAGAAAGAATCGGATGTGTTCCCAATGTTGAAGTCAAACTCCAACTCAGAGATAATGAAAAACCAGTTTTTACTAGGGAACGTGATGTCCCTTTCGCTTTAAGAGAGAGAGAGTAGAAAAGGAACTTACAACCCTCGAGTCTCAAGGAATCATAACTCCAGTCGCATCAAGTGATTGGGGGTCACCATTGGTTGTTATCCCAAAGCCAGATGGAGGAGTCAGACTATGCGTAGATTACAAGTGTGGGGTTAATTCAAAACTTGTCTCATCTAACCACCCCATTCGACGCATTGATGATGTCCTACATAGTCTCCGCGGATCAAGATACTTCTGTAAGTTGGATCTTCATAAGGCTTATTTGCATCTAAAAGTCGATGAAGAGGGAAGTAAGATTCAAACAATATCAACCCATAAAGGAATGTTCAACATGAATCGTCTCAGTTTTGGAATAAAAACAGATCCTTCTGAGTTTAATCGAATTTTATCACAACTACTAAACGGATTATCAAAGGTAGAAGCATACTTTGATGATATCATTTGTCACGGTGAAACTCTCGAAGAGTGTATGAAGAACCTTATTGCATGTTTGGAATGTCTCAAGAAGAATGATCTACATCTTAACAGAACAAAATGTGTTTTCTTCAAGGAAAGTATTAATTACCTTGGACATGTGGTGTCATTCAATAAGATTCAAAAATGTCCTAAAAAGGTTGAAGCAGTTACTCAGATGCCTCACCCTCGAAATGTTGATGAGTTAAGACGCTTTCTTGGCTTAGTTACATACTATGCAAAATTCATTCCTGACTTCTCTTCAAAAACACATCCGCTACGATGTTTGCTTAGAAAAGCAGAACAATTCTTTTGGTCAGCTGCTGCTGAAGCCTCATTTCTGAATCTGAAATCTGAACTTTGTAGTGATACAGTTCTTATTCCTTTCGACCCATCAAAACCAGTTATTCTTACAACAGATGCTAGCCCAACTGGAATTGCTGCAATACTCAGTCATGATATCGATGGTCAAGAAAGACCAATTGCATATGCATCCAGAGCATTGACCCAGGCTGAAACCAATTACAGCCAACTTGATAGAGAAGCTCTAGCAATCATCTACGCAGTCACCCATTTTTACAATTACGTTTTTGGTAAAAGATTCACTCTCGTCACCGATAATGAACCATTGTCACATATCTTTCATCCAGGACGTGCTCTGCCACGAATGACATCATCTCGCTTATTGCGTTATTCTTCATTCCTCAGTGGTCTTGACTATACAGTCCGATGCAAGAAAGGGAAAGACAATGAAAACGTGGATTGTTTGTCTCGAAGCCCAGTTCAATCGTCAATTTCATCTGAACTAACATTCGACAAAGAAATAAACACAATCAATGCAGAAACCTTACTTCAAATCTCCAGCACAGTGATAACCGCAGAAACAATCAAAGAAGAAACAGCAAAAGACCCTGAGCTTCAAGTTCTTTTGCATGAACTGAAAAATAGTCGCAAAGATAGCCCTTACATGATCTCAGACAACATACTTTTCCGATCAGATCGAGTCGTAATTCCCAAATGTCTTCAAAGTCAAATTCTAAATGAGCTCCATGAATCACACCTCGGAATTACTAAAATGAAACAGCTTGCTAGAAGATATGTATATTGGGAAGGTATGGACAAAGACATAGAAAGATTAGTGAAAAGCTGTGAAGCTTGTGCTAAAGTTCGTCACAATCCACCAAAAGCTCCGGTTCATCCGTGGGATCAGCCCGATGATAACTGGGAAAGAGTGCATATTGATTATGCCGGTCCATTGGATGGAAATTATTTCCTCATGTGTGTAGATGCTAAATCAAAGTGGGCAGAAGTTCGCATTCTTCGAAATGCTCCTTCCTCAGCAACGACGATGGCACTACTTGAAAACATTTTCTCAGTCCATGGGTACCCCTCGTTCTTAGTCTCGGACAATGCCACTATATTCAAAAGTGAGGAATTTATCAACTACTGTAAAGAACGTGGGATTTTCCAAAAATTTACTGCTCCTAACCATCCTGCAACAAATGGCCTGGCAGAACGAAACATACAAACCTTAAAGAGAAGACTTATTGCTGCTGCCGATGATCCAACCCCAATTACCACAAAGCTACAAAACATTATGTTCAGATATCGAGCAACACCTTTGGCATCAGGCAAGACTCCAGCAGAGTTGTATTTGAACAGGAAGATTCGGATTAGACTTGACACACTTCTCCCTAACCCAAAGGCAAAGCTTCCATCAAAATCGATTGCTCCTCTTCGCGTCCGCTCTCTTAAAGTGGGGGAGAGGGTTCAGGCAAGAGTTCACCTGGGAAATAAAGACATATGGCAGTTTGGTACAGTCAAGAGAAAATTAGGTCAATACCATTACATTGTTGAATTGGATTCTGGACGAAATTTAAAACGACACATAAATCAATTGATTTTGGCTCTTGTATCCAAGAAGAAAGTTACCTTTACAACACAAAACAAACAAGATAGTTCTGTTGTTCCAAGAAGGATTCCTATTATAGACTGTCAAGCACCACCACAAGAGATCCATCCAGAGTCTGAATCAAATACAAACAATCCAACAGAACTAGACGGTACTCTAAGGGAAGAAAATCTAGACAGACCTCAAGCCACAGAACAAAAAGAAAACAAATTAACTCATCCTTCCAGACAGCGCAAGGTTCCGTCCTATCTTAAGGACTTTGCTCTCCAGCGATTAAGTGGGGGAGAATGTTATGAACATATGTAGTTGTTACCATAGCAACCAAAATGTGTATTATCAAATGCTGTTTACTATTCTATTCTGATCTTTAATATAACACAGTTACTTCTATTTCAACACTCTGTCTTTTTTATATTCTAATATTCCACTCGAAAGTCATCTCAATTCCAAAGGATATTTATCTTAGTTTTATTGTATTAAGTTCAAAATATTTTATAATATTGTTTCTAGTTTGTGTTAAACGTTACTTATGCCTCATTGACCAACTATTGACAAGGGATTGCAGGGACTATTCGGATATGCAGGAAAACACTAGAAATATCTCGGCCTAGTTCCGATTTATAGGCTAGTGTTCGAAGAGCAAATAAATTAAGTTTGTATCGCGTAGTCTGTGGGCTATAAATTCTAGGAGTCACACACTGCAGGCTGTGTGCGTAAACGTATTTTCGTATCTACCTCAAGAAAAAAACCTAATGTCTTTACGCTTGTTAAGTTAATATATTGGCAGTTCTAAACTTTTACTTTAACAGTTACTGATTACAACAGTTTTATCTACAGTTTACAATAATAGTGCAGTAGAAATAGGGTTTGAGGTGGAACTAATTGCAACAGAAATTATTCCAGTTAGAAATGGTAGGTAATACACTTTTAAAAAAGATACTAAAAATATACATTTGTACTGTTACGCAAAATACGGTTTTTTGGTCGCCATTTAAAAAAGTGTAAAATTTTAAATTATTGTTAAAAAATCTGGTTTGGTATCAAATTATAGAACATTTCATGCTGGAAAAGAATATAACGGTTGAATTTAAAATATACTGTTAACGGTGATGCACTATGGGCGAAAAAGGTGCGTTTAAAAATGTGGCATTTGAAAAGTTTTTTATTTATAAGTTATTTTATACTTTTAAAAATTGTTTTTTTTATTTTTGACCCTTAAAACGTAAATTTTCCCAATTTCTCTCTAGACCTTTTTAAAGAGCTTAAAAAACAAATAGTTAAGTATATCAAAGGGGTATTGTACGATTATTGGTAACGGGGAAAATTCAAAAAATTGGAAATTTAAAATCCCCATGTTATTCTTATGGAGAATATGGTAAAAAGTTGTAGTTTCCTTGTTTATGGATATATTTTGATAACACTTTAAAGATTTATTTATTTTATACTAAACAATTAATATTTTACTAAAAACACACTTAATTGGTTTCCTTGTAGCAGAAAATCTTGGTACTCGTTTCATTAAACCTAATGTTATTTATTTAATAGACTAGCAACAGAGCCCATTAAAATTAATGCAACGGTCTCTAGTAAAATAATGGTTATATAATCCATACACCACTTTACTCACTAATATTTGGTACATATTAAGCTCATAACATTAGAATCACACACTTAACATAAGAAACACACTTTAAACACAAACTAGTGAACCTGTGCGGCTCAATGCCCCGCAAAATAACATTGTGAATTTAGAAAACAAATTCATCGTATTATATATTGACTCGACGTCGAAAATTAAATACAGTAATAATGAAGCCTTGGAAGGGAAGCAGTCCAGCCATTTTCTAGCTGTATGTGTATGATATTAAGTAAATTAATAAGTGTTCAAGTTCAAGTATGTTATAGGCAGCTAGCAAGGTTATAGGGTACCGGTAGTTATGTTTTAAAAATGTTTACAACACATTTAACAAAACATTTTATCATATCAAACCAATAGGCATACGTAGCATATTTTGAGGGTCATAAAAATGCTGCTTAAAGAAAACACACTTTTAAAAATAAACACTAAAAAAAAACAATATTTTTATCACAAAAGCACTTCCATGAATACTATGATTTTAGCCTTAAAGTTACCTTCAGGAAGATTACCCTGGTCAGAGTTTTCCGTAACGAATATGCTTATCCTATTAAAAGATGTAGCCTTACTTAAAACAACATATAATATAGTTGCTCATGACTGAAATTGGTCTGGGTAAGAACAGCGCTGCAAATGCCAAAGGTAACAGAAATTAGCATCTTTCCATTTTAAAAGGTAAGTTTGTTTCAGACCGGTAAATCTTTATCCTCGAAATCAAAATATGTCCGAACTCACTTGTTCCAGTTAAGACTTTACATTCTATTAAGTTGTTAACCATTCTGATCACATGAAGCCTTGTGCCATTAATGAGGCCCTTTTTGATGTATTAATATTCCTCATCAATAAAACCACTGCCCCCTTTTATTCGTCTAATCTGTGTCTTGGTATTCCACTGACCTCTATATTTAAAAACTCAATTGGATTTTCTAGATGGGTGTCTCCGCCTTCGTCTGTTTTCAAGGACCCACTCTTCTTCCCCTTGGTAAACTGACAATTAATTACCTGACTTGTCAAGTTCATGTAGTAATTCATTAATACTGTTAGTTTATAAAGAAAATTTGATAAAAGCTACTTGGCTTGGTGCTTTCATAACTGCAAACTCAAAATACACCCACAAGTAAAAAAGAATCAAGATATTGGTTAAAAAAATTATGTTTGTGTAATAACATTATTCACATGAAGTAGATGGTTTGTTTGATTTGTCGATCAGCTGTTTAGTTTCAAATGAATTAATAATGTCAAAGATTTGTGATTTAAATACATAAGTAAAGTTTTCTAAATCATGGTAACTTATTCTCCACTAAATTTTACTATTCCCAGCATTAAAACCCTAGCAGTGGCCAATGGTCCCGGCGGGACCATTTCACCGTGCACCCTTAGAATGGCCATGGTCCCTCCGGAACCATTTATGTCCAAACATTTTCTAACGCAAAAAACTAATTGATAATTATATTTAAAGTGGATAATTTTTATACCATTCGAAAGATGACATTCTAAACTTTCATTTTATTATATAAACGAACCTTCTAGCATCAATATGTCAATACAATTGCAATTTAAATTTGAATGAAAATTTCCGCGCGAATCTACTTCCACTTGTAGTGTTGCGCAAGCGCTAAACACATGAAGTTTAGAAAATCATAGCGAGGTTAGTTTTGTTCCTATCTGGATGCGAGTTATACCACTAGATAGCAGAAGAGTTGCTGAATATTTTGGCATAGATTATTTGATCAATACATCGATAGCAAAGAACGTATGATTTTTTGAAAACACGTAATTTTACAAAAATTAACAAATGGCCAATGGTCCCGCCGGGACCATTTCTAAAATCGAAATATATATATAATGGATTATTTATAACTATTCAAATATAATATCCTTTTGTAGTGTAGGAAACGTAGAATAATTTAGTGTTGAGAAATGGCAGCCCTGATCACTGTATAATTTCTGTGTTCTGTCAGCAACAAAAGAAAATTGCTATCTGACCAAGTTACTCTGTTTGTTTTGTGCGGATCAGCTGACTTACGTTTTGAAAGTAAATATTGTTCGGCGAATATCTTGGGATTCATTCTAATTTCGGATTTTGTAGTTATGTAGTGTTTTTTTTTAGTAATGTTTTTGTGTTTTGGGACTAACAGTAATCTTTATGCATGAATATAAGCCTACTGGAAAGTCTAATATCTGAATTTCTTTTTACATAAACGGCAAATCTTTAGTTTTTTTGTATCATAAACGGGTAATCAGGAATTTTTTACTGCCTACAATGTGACATATTTGTATTCCTTAGTTTATAACTTACAAGAATATGTGTACTATATTACTATCACTAATTACCTTACATGAGCTATCTCCGAGTTAGGCCTACTAATTATTCGTCTTACGTGACAAACCTTGCGATTTTTCGTATTTTCTTACATAACACATGTAAATAAAAATATTTTCCCCATGTGTTATACATTTCTATAAAGAGAATTGAATGTACTATAACATTTTTATAATATGTTTGGCCTACAAAAATCTGTACAAAATTTTTTTACAAAAATGTCTTTGAATTTTTTTTTATGTAAACTGTAAATTTTTAGTTTTTTTTATCATAAACGGGTAATCAAAATTTTTTTACTGCCTACAATGTGACATATTTGTATTCCTTAGTTTATAACCTACAAGAATATGTGTACTATATTATTATCACTAATTACCTTAAATGAGTTATCTCCGAGTTACTAATTATTCGTCTTATGCGACAAAATTTGAATTTTCTTCATTTTCTTACATAACATTTGTAAACAAAAATATTTCCCCCATGTGTTATACATTTCTATGTAGGGAATTGAATTTACTACAAAATGTATATAATGGTTTTGGTCTGAAAATTATACTGTAGTAATAACAAGACTTTACTTTTGAAATTTCAATCAGAATTTTTGAATTTTTTATGATTTTTTTTATTTTTCAAAAAAGTTACCAACTCAGATTCAATTTTTATTTATATATTCAGATTCTCCTGCTTTTTCTGAATAAAATGAATACAAACATTGATAGGTTGAGTCCATATTTGTAATTTTGACAGATTTTTAAAAAAAGGTCTGCAAAATCGCCAAAATGGGTTGGCCATTCCCCACTTCTAACATTGGCCACTGCTAGGGTTAAAATAAAGAAAGTAGTAAGATCCATTATGGGTAAACTTTAAGGTACACAATCCTTGATTGAAATGTAGTAGGTATACATTAAGAGTCATAATACACAGCAATTATTATGTAGTAGGCTTTGACTATTTTCAAGTAACAAACATATGTTTCTGTAAATAAAAATTATCTCCCATGTTATCCTTATGGAGAAATACAAAACTTTAAAGGGCTCCAGGGCCTAAATCTCTCATTATTTCCCTAAAAAGAAAGTTTCCTGCACAACTTCACGTTACCCTCTTTCCAATGACACCAAAAACATGTCAATCGGTTCAGTAGTTTCGGAGGAGTAATTGTCACAAAAAACCTGCTTGCGTATTAAATAAGTATAGATGCTAATTGTTAACAACAATATTTAATCACAGAAAATTTTATTAAATAACAATATAACAATAAGCTGTTAAATTATCAACTCATTTTTCGTATGGTTAGATTATGCATACTGGTAAATCAATTATTGCCATCTATAAAAATAATTGGTTTTT